GGCTTTAAAAATGATAAATAGCTAAGAGCTCTTATAACGCTATTCAGAGCTTCCCCCCCACAACCTGGGTTGGTGATAGTCATGGAGACATCTGGGGAGACATGGGTATTGTATGTATGGATCATTCATTATAAGCTGGAATTTACAAGTGCCTTCATGTGACCTTTCTCTTTGTGCTATATAAGTTTAACTTAGTCACTCAATCAGCATATAGTCTTGATTATTAAGCAAACACTATGCTTACACTTGCAGAGACCATACCTGTGCCTAAAGCAGTCTGCTATGGTTTAAATATTCATCTCCTCCAACACTCACGTCGAAATTTAATCCCCAGTGTTTTTGTACTGAGAGCTAGGGCCTTGAAAAGGTGCTTGAGGCAGTTTCTCTCACCCATGCCAGTTCTGGCATGTCATCTTTCCCTTCATCTTTCTCGAATAAACTTTGTTTTAAAACTTTAAAAAAAGAAAAGAAAAAGAGGCGATTGAGTCATGATTCTGCCCTAATAGATGAATTAATCCATTTCATGGATTGATAGATTAATCCATTTCATGGATTGATAGATTAATCCATTTCATGGATTGATAGATTAATCCATTTCATGGATTGATAGATTAATCCATTTATGAATTGATAGATTAATCCATTTATGAATTAATAGCTTGATAGATTAGTGGGTTATCATAGGATTGAGATTGGTGGCTTTATAAGAAGAAGAAACAACCAAGCTAGCATGCTCAGCCCCTTGCCATGTGAGGCCCTGTGCCACCTTGGGACTCTGCAGAGCCCCCAACAGCAAGAAAGTCCTCACCAGTTGTGGCCCCCCAACCTTGGACTTCTCAGTCTCCATACCTACAAAAAATGAATTCCTTTTTTAAAATAAATTACCCAGTTTCAGGTATTCTGTTATAAGCAACAGAAAATGGATAAGACACAGTCCCTTTTCTTTAAAAATCTATAGGAGACGAGGCAGCTATCAGTGTATGGGGAGAGTGGCCAACAGAGCGCGTGTCCCTGGTGGAAGGGCTCTGGGTTGCATCTCATTGGCATGAGCGGCTTGGCTGCCTCCCTGGGGTCCCGCAAACCTCCCTGGGGTCCCGCAGCTAGAAAGTCTTATGTTTAGGCTCGTCTGACCCATTTCCTTCAGTTATACTTTCATGACCTTTTGTACATCAGTAAAGGCAAAACCAAGACTCACAACCTAATAAGTAGCGCTCTGTCCTCAAAAAAAAAAAAATATATAGGAAAAACACGTTTTATATAAGGGGGCTGGGATGTCCCCTGAGTGAACGAGATCTCAGGTTCACTTTTATATATCCAGTTCTTGAGCAGAGTGCCTTGTAAGCAGACACTGATACTTGCTCCCTTCTCTTCCCTTTACAAAGGTCTTTAAAGGTCTAGAAGTTAGGTGAAGTAGCTACAGACAGAGAGGTCATCTAATTAGGCAGCAGACCCAGGATTTCAAGCCTAACCTGATTTCAAGGGCAATGTATTTTCCCCACTAAAGTTCATCTTCCAGCTATTAAGATCACATAGTGGTTAAAAAAACAGGCTGTGGCATCAGCCTACTGGAACCAAAGACTCAGCTTTACCATTATTATGTAACTGTAGCACAGAAGTCACATCAATCTTACTTAAAGGACTGTAATTTAATTTACCCGAAAGTGCTACTTCAATTCAAGAGTAACTGAGTAACTGCCTTTCTTACTAAGAAGGGGTTCTTCTTGCTGGAACACTTTAGTCTTTCTCATGTTCATGTACTCAAGATAAACTGGGTATGGTTCACCTACTGAGGAAAATTTGAAACTACTGAACTCCTAATATCCTACTTAAGATATGTACAAACATTTCTTAAAGATGTAATGTATACAGAAGCAAATGTCCCTCTTTACAATATCAGCCTAAGACTTTGCAGTTCTTATACCCAAATATAAATATTCCATATATGTAAAAGAATATATTATGAAATATAATAATATTAATACAAAATTAGAGAAAACCTTAAATGATGCCCTTAGCTTTGGGCTTGGCCAAGTAATTTCCTTTGGTCAATAAAATGTGAGTGGAAGTAGCATGCCGCTTTTGAAAAGAAGCTTTAAGAGCCACCAAGTAGATTCATTGTTGTTTTCCCTCTGCCCCAATAATAGCAATGTCCCAGACTGGACCCTCTCCTTCAGCTGGGATCCTAAATTAGGAAAACACAATGAGCAAAGCTACAGGTGGCCAGAAGCTGAAAGGTCACATAAACACACAAAAATTCTTTACTGTTGCAATCACTGAGATTTAGAGGTTGTTTGCAAAACCAGTATAACCTAGCAAAAGATGACATACAAAAAATAAGCCACTTTATTTTTTAAGGTCTTACTTCATATTGACCTCTAGGCTAGTCACAGAATTATCTAACTGGTTATTTTTCAAAAAAATAAGATACTTTGATGTCATCATAACATCCTAGGTTTGCTTATTCCTCTTTACTATTTTTTTGTTTTCTCAAGTAAAAATTATGCTGGACAGAAAAAAATTGAATAGAGGAAAAATCTTAGTACATGTGATGCAACAGGAAATAAAGGTGACTGTGTGTACATGAAAAAAAGCTTAAGAAGAAGACAGTGGTTCTCAGGGAAGAACACAACCCACTGGTAGGCTAAAAAAAAGTAGAACACAGACTAAAAGGGGGCAGAAAACATGGTCAAACATCATGCACTTTAACAAACTGAATTCTCCCCTTTGCCACTAAACTAAATCTGGCTCTTCAGCTATGTTTAGCAAATATTTTTCTTCTGCCTTCTTGGACTTTCAACAGGACTTGATGCAATATCATCTCTACAGTAATAATGCAATGACAGAATAAACAGATACACAGTCCCTGTTTATTTTATCTTTTTCTTAGCATCCAAACACTTCTTATGTGATTTTTAACAATTTCAGAGCTAATAGGGAAATAAAGGAAAACTGATCCACATGAACATACACTGTTATAAAATTTTTTATAAAACAAGTTTATAAACCAAGCTTATATCTTAGTCAAAACAAAAAAATAAAAATGTATTAAACCAAGCCGGGCTCGGTGGCGCAGCCTATAATACCGCACTTTGGGAGGCCGAGGTGAGTGAATTGCCTGAGCCTGCGGGTTCAAGACCCGTCAGGGCAACTTGGCGAGACCTCGTCTCTACAATAAATCAAAAACTAGCCGGGCGTGGTAGCGCATGCCTGTAGTTCCAGCTACTTGGAAGGCTGAGGCGGAAGGATCGCTGGAGCCCAGCAGGTCGAGGCTGCGGTGGCCGGGAGCATGCCACTGCACTCCAGTCTGGGCGACAGTGAGACTCCAACTCAAAAAAAAAAAAAAAAAAAATTATTAAATCAATCTCAGACACACCATCCACTCCTCAAAAAAAGGCCATATCAACAATAAAAGAACCAATGAACAAAGTACCTTCTTTGCTTTGCACAAGGCAATATTCTAGGTTCTCTAGAAGATACAAAAGACAAATTGAAATTGAGTCGAAAAAAATATAAATAAGTTAAAAGTTATAAGGTAAAAATATTAAGAACTAAATAGCAACATAAAAACAGAAATAAAAGAAAAAAACAGTAATAGCATGTGTCTTTAGGCTGCAACATGGAATAGTCTTGGAATATCTGGCAAAGAGAGCCTGAAATACACACCCCTGTCCAAATAATACAATGTCAAATTTTTTCCTTGCCATGAGAAGTAAAGTAGATTAGCAGATAGTGGCTATAACTTTAAACAAGGAACATCCAAAATGTCTGTGTCTCTTCAAGAAAAGATAAGTTACACATCCACAAGGAGGAAGAAGATAACATCAAATGCCCTGCTTAGGCCTTCTTTGTTTAGAAAACTTAGTTGCTAGATTATTCTTTTGTTATATATGCCTCCATAAGCAAACTGAGGAAAATTTGTCTTTCTGTATTTCCTAATAAGATGTAGAAAAGCTTAAATTAGGAGGTCATTGTGGGTCAACAGTTCTATCTCAGGAAAGATGCCAATAAATACTGAGTAATAACACCTGCCTATAACATACGCCCCCCCCCCCCCCCCCCCCCCCCC